AGGCGAGAAGCCGGGCAGCGGCCGGCCCATTCTCTTGCCCAGATGCTTGTGGATCTGTGCAGATGTGGCTTCAAAAGCCGGGTCACAAAGGGCTGCAGACCTGGGGAAAAGCAGGCAGAGCTAGGAAGAAAAGAAAGCGCAGGGACAAAAAGCATCCCTGGCTCGTCCGTCTCTCGGCCACGCCCCCCTCGGGGTACCGCGGTGACAGTCTGTTTATAGTAAGTGACAGATGCTCCGACCTCAGGAAATCGCAACCTCAGCTATTGCTCAATGTGGGGCCCGCGCAATTGTTTAATTGAGAAAGTTATTTATTCCGCTTTCTTATTGATACATCGTGGGTTTGTTTTTTTTTCTCATTCGCACTCAGCATTCAAGACATTTCTCAGCTTCATATATTCCCAATTTTTCAGGAAAGAGATTTTGTGGTTTAAAACACCCCCGAGTTGCTGGGTCTGGTGGCATATGCCTGTAATCCCAGCACCCTGGGAGGCTGAGGCAGGAGGATTACAAGTTGAATCCCTGCCTGGCAATTTAGCAAAAATCTTGTGTCAATATAAAAGATAAAAGGAGCTGGGGTTGTAGATCCGTGCCAGGTCCTAGGTTAAATCCCCAGTACTGGGGGAGAGGCACCTTCTTGTGCATTTTTTCTCATTTGTGTTTATATTACAACTGGTGAGCCCAAATCTTACCTCTGCACGGCTTTTTTTTTTTTTTTTTTTTTGGTTTTTCTCCGGTATTGGGAATCAAACTCATGACCTTGCACTTGCCTGGCAGGCACTGTGCCGTTGAGCTAAATCCCCAGCCCCTGCTGCTTAAAACACTAGCTAATTCCCTGAAACAGCTGTTCACCCTTACCTCTGGCACTATGTGGACAGAGTGGGATACTGGCTGGCTGCACTGTAGGCATTTTTTCCCTCTGAAATGATCCACTTCAATACAGGACAAATCTTTCTTCTGCGACTACATTGAAGTCGAGATTAGGATCATAAATGGCTTTAAAGTACAAGGATTTTTATTTTTTTTGTCTTCTTGAAACAGGGTCTCCCTATGCAGTTCAGGCTGGCCTTGAGCTCACTTTGTAGCCCAGGCTGGCCTCGAACTCTCAAGGATCCTCCTGCCTCAGCCTCCCTAGTGCTGGGATTACAGGCGTGGCCCACCACGCCCAGCCTGGTACAACGATTTTTAAAAACCCAAAAAACAAAACAAAAAAAACCCAAGCCAGATGTGATGAAGAACTGTTTACCTTTTTCATCTTCTCTGGCTTTTGGGAAATTGTTAATGAGTCCTTCTAAGTAGATATAAATGTAATGTTCTGTAAACAACCTGCTAATTTATTAATGTATACCGCTTGTCCAGCTCCTCTCTTTAACCAGGTGGGAGTAGCGCACACCTCTTATCCCAGCACTCAGAAGGCTGAGGCTGGAGGGTCACTACAAGTTGGAGGCCAGCCTGGACCTCCCCAAATAATAAATTCAAGACATGCCTAAACTACATATCGAGGCCCTGACTCAAAAACCAAAATCAAGTGGCTGTGGATTTAGCTCAGTGGCACAGCGCCTGCCTGGAAGTGTGAGGTCGTGAGTTCAATTCCCGGTACCGGAAAAAAACCCAATAAATAAATAAATAAACATTTTAAAAAATCAATTTCTCCGTTTAAAATTATTTAGACTCATGAATTAGTTCCCCCCACCCCAGCTTTTTTTTTTTTTTTTTTTTTGAGACAGGGTCTCCCTGTGCAGTTCAGACAGGCCTTGAGCTCACTTTGTAGCCCAGGCTGGTCTTGAACTCCCAAGGATCCTCCTGCCTCAGCCTCCCAAGTGCTGAGATTACAGGTGTGCGCCACCACACCCGGCTAGTTTTTCCCTTTAGACAGTATTTTAAACAATGACCAGTTCCCTGCATGGGAATAGACCTTCACTTTAAAAAAACAACAACTGGGGGCTGGGGATTTAGCTCAGCAGCAAAGCGCCTGCCTGGCAAGCGCAAGGTTGTGAGTTCGATTCCCGGTACCGGAGAAAAACTAAAAAAAAACAACAACAACAACAACAACAACAACTGAATGAATGCATAGTATATTGCAAAGTTAAAAAGTAAACTGCCCTATCAATCAGAATCTATCTGATCAGGCAGAGTTATTCATGAACAATTAATGGGCAACCTGTGGTGTAAGTCCGCGTTTTACATAATCCTTTTCTAGGCTGGTGTCTAGGCTTGTAATTCTAGCACTGTGGGAGGCTGAGGTAGGAGGATTGCAAGTTGGAGCCCAGCCTGGCCTACATAGCAACTTACTGGGACCCTGTGTCAAAAAAAAAAGATTAAAAATTCAAAAAGGACTGGGGATATAGCTAAGCAGAAGGCCCATGGGTTCAATATCCAGTGCTGCCCCAGAAATTAATTTTTTTTAACTTTTAAAACATTTTTAAATTTTTTTTATTTTTTAAAATTTTTTTTGTTTTTTTGAGACCGGGTTTCACTATGGAGCTCAGGCTGGCCTTGAACTCACTTTGTAGCCCAGGCGGCCCTCGAACTCACAGTGATCCTCCTGCCTCAGCCTCCCGAGTGGTGCGATTACAGGCGTAAAACATTTTTTTAGTACGTGTTCAGAATGATTGCATTCATCCTGGCCTCTCTGGATTTGCATGCTTTCCTTAAGCAGAGACATTTGCCGTAAGCAAGGGCCGCGTGAACGCCGTCGGTTTTATTTGTCACTGCGGGGAACACAATATTTGGAAATAGTGACTGACTTTTCCAACGAAGCGTTCTCATAAAGACCTGGATTTCTGGCTTTTCTGACGGAACGTGAGCTCCAGGTGGAGACAGGGTCCCCACTTGAAGGTGCGAGGTCACAGGGCTGTGGGCGGGACCGCCGTAGGCCTTTTTGGCTTTGCCAAATCCCCCTTTTCTAAGACGCTGGGGATGGGGTCATCGGGGATCTTAGATGTCTCCCCCCTCCAGGAACTGCTCGCCGTCCCTGCCCCAGCGTTAAAGGCCTCTGTGCTCCGCACCTCCCTCCCGGGGGGCTTGTGCTTTCTCTTTGTCTGCAGCAGGAAAAACTCCAGAAAGCCGGCTTTCAGGGAACTCTCCACCGAAGGTTGGTGGCGGTCGGGGACAGGGGATCGGGCTCCTGGGCTGGGGGAGGGGACAAGGAGAAAGAGGCGATTAGGAAGGTTCCCCGCCTGGCAGCCAGCTCCAGGGACGCCAACTTTCGGCGGAGTTGTTGTTCTGTTTATCTTTGGGGGGTTGGGGGCTTGGGATTTAGCTCAGCGGCAAAACGCCTGCCTGGTAAGCGCAGGGTCGTGAGTTCGATTCCTGGCACCGGAAGAAAAACAAAAACAAACACAAAAACATATCTTTGAGGGGTGGATCATGATTCCACCTTGCTTTAATGAAAAACACACAACTCAAGGTCGTGAGTTCGATTCCTGGTACCGAAAAAAAAAAAAACACAACAAACTGTTTCCCCTCTCTAACTAGAATGAGACCCCCAGACCCTCTGTTCTCAGGGAGGCGGACGCTTTGGGCGTGGCAGGTTCCCTACGGGATAAACACACGGCCCTCGCCCTCCGCCCCGCATAACGCAAGAATGAAGGGCGAGCTTCCACCCACCAAGCCCTAGAATTGGGCAGAGGCGTTACGGTGGCTGTGGGTGGCCAGGTACGTTTTGCCCGCCGAGATCCTCCTTCCCCAAACTGCTTCTGTTGCTTTTATGACTAACACAGTCCTCCCCGGTTATTATTTAGTTTGATCGTATCCTAGCCGCATGCTCTGCATTTCAATGTAAGTGTAACTGGGAAGGGAAAAATGCAAATCTCTCCTATTCAAATTCAAAAGAAAATAAATGGACTTTTTATGGCCTAAAGGATCTGTTCATTACCAAATCGTTTATCTCTTCAGGAAGAACAGTTTATATATCCAACATGCTGGCATGCTGTCTTTATTTTCTTCATTTTCCCCCTCCTTTGATAAATACGCTTGCTCTTTCAAATCTCCCTTAAATCTCCGCCGATAGGGGCAGCTTACAGCAGGCGGAACAAGAATATAATTAATAGCGTAAACAAAAAGCTAAGGTGGATAGCAAGAGCGCGCACATCCTGGTTTTTTAAAAAAAATCATAACAAACAAACCTCAAACTTGGATTGCGTGAAATGCGTTTTTCTTAAACAATTGCAAGGCTAAAAAAAAAAAAAAAAAAAATCTTCCCTAGACCTTATCAAACATAGAATCGGGGAGCAGTGTGTGTCTTCTCAGCTTCCTTCAAGTCCTGTGGATCGCAGATTTCCCTAAGAGGTAGGAACCAAGCCGGGCGTGGTGGCGCACGCCTATAATCCCAGCACTCAGGAGGCTGAGGCAGGAGGATCGCTGGGAGCTCAAGGCCAGCCTGGGCTACAAAGTGAGCTCAAGGCCAGCCTGAATTGCATAGCAAGACCCAGTCTCAAAAAGACAAAAAAAAAGAGCTAGGAACGGAGCAGCGCTTGTTTCTAGCACGATGTGCTGGGAAAGTTGGGCATTTGGGAAGCGGGGCTGTCCTTTTATTGAACAGAGGCTTACATTTATATTTCGATGAAAGACTCCCTTGTGGAGGGCGGGGCCTCTGACGGTGCAGACAGCTGGGAGGCGCCCAGCAGCGTCCGCTCCACACTGCTCACCTTGCAGCAGCTTCCTCCGGGTCGGCCCAAGTACTCTTTTACGGTTTGATTTCTTTCTGTAGACATCTGCCTTTCTCTAGTGTATACCATGTACTTAAAAAAAATCACAGGACTGTGTTCAAGTTGCCGAGAATGTTGACTTCCCATTCATGTTTGTGTGGTAAATGGGAGCTCAGAGCAAGCTGAATGGGTCCTTTGTTCCCCCTGCCATGAAGTGCAGCTAGATCATCTGGTTTAGTTAAGGCCACCTTGTTTAAACCGTGCTAATTACGGGGCTTACAGAACAACGGCAGGGGGACCATTTAAATGTTCCCTTGAAGAGGGAATAAAAACAATCTTATGCCAAGCTCGAAAATGTGCAGTCGCTCTATCTGCTCCCGAGGCCAGCGGGAAGGCTGTGATCCTCTGGGATCTATTTGCCATGATGTTCTGGGACAGCAGGCTTCGTCCCAGGCGAGTTTCACACCCACGGCCTGGAGGGACCTGCGTGAGCACTGGATAAACTGCTTCAGCAGGGTGCGGAGAGCGTGAGACCCCAGGCCACACCTGCAGGGCTCCGCTGGACTGAAGACTTCCAAAGGTGAAAGAAAGGATGACCTCTAAAGAGGTCAAAGAGGGAGGCTTGCTGGGTGTGGTGGAGCGTGCCTGTAATTCCAGCACTTGGGAGGGAGGCTGAGGCAGGAGGATCGCTGTGAGTTCGAGGCCAGCCTGGGCTACACAGCAAGACCCTTTCTCAAAAACAAAAACAAACAAACAAAGTTAGAAGAAGGGGTCCCGCAGGTGAGCACTTGCCAGCCAGGTCTGAGAGCCAGGGGGAGGTGGGGCAGAGACCGAATCGCTCAGTATTTCATGAGGTGCTTTACTAAATGCTGTTTCCTTTACAGACCAATTACAGGATCAGGATGGGAAGGAAAAAAAACGAGGGAACTATAAGGCAAAGTCTACTTTTGCCGCTTCGTCCTGGGGCCCAGGGGTTGGCTCCTAACTGCAGTCACTCTTCATTTCAGGATTTATGTGGGAAACTCCTGAGGCTGGGGCCAAGAAGCACGCTAGGGGCTGGCACACAGCACGCGGGTGTCTTCCGCTCCGCAGATGGTGCTGCACACGCCGGGAGTGGGTCGGTGGCCACTGAGAAGAACACTCCTGTTCGGGCTTAAAAGTGCAGGAATACCCAGCGGAAGGGGAGACGCTTTAGGGAATGTGTAGAGAATGTTTTCTGAAGACTTTTATTTTGTTTTTTTTTGTTTTTTTTTTGTTTGTTTTTGTTTTTCTCCGGTACCGGGAACCGAACTCATGACCTTGTACTTGCCAGGCAGGCGCTTTTGCCGCTGAGCTAAATCCCCAGCCCCTCTGAAGACTTTTATAGCCCCTTTTGAGGAAGGAAAGAGATGTGAAAATCGTGACACCAGGCCAGGCATGGTGGTGCACACCCGAAATCTCAGCACTTGGGAGGCTGAGGCAGGAGGAGCACTATGAGGCCAGCCTGAGCTACAGAATGAGTTCAAGTTCAGCTAGAACCACAAAGCAAGACCTTGTCTCAGAACAAAAACAAAAACAAAAACCCATGCCTCCGAAGTCAAGGGCTTCTTGTTCAGTGTGTGGAAAACAGTGATATGGAAAATAGATTATCCTAGCCAGGCATGGTGGCACACGCTTGTAATCCCAGCACTTGGGAGGCTGAGGCAGGAGGATCGTCATGAGTTCGAGACCAGCCTGGGCTACAAAGGGAGCCCAAGGCCAGCCTGAACTACATAACGAGACCCTGTCTCAAAAAGACAAAAAAAAAAAAAAAAAAAAACCCAAAAAATAAACAAACAAAAAAACCCAGATTATCCTTAAAAACAAAAACAATAACAACTGGAGAATATGGATAGAGAGTTGAATTTTGCTCATCCTCAGATTTCCAGGAATTGTCTGTGACTTGAAGCTATGCAAAGTAAGTTTGGGAGCAAAAGTAAACTCAGTTGTAGGGTGGACCCCTCCACTTCGTAAAGTCCTGGACAAAGTAATAAGCCTTTGCTTCGCACCTCTGGTCTCTCAACTATAAAATGGGTTTAGCAAGCTGAGCATGGTGGCACACGCTGATGATTTGGTGATTGCGGCTATTCAGGAGGCTGAGGCAGGAGGATTGCAAGATGGAAGTCAACCTGGGCAATTTAGATTCCCTCAAAATAAATACTAATACAAAAGTCTGGGAATATAGCTCAGGAGTAGAGCCCCAGTACTATATGTATTAAAAATGTTTAGTAATAATTCATTTGTCTGGTTGTTGGGAGAATTAAAGGCTACAGGCTGAACATCAGCTACACCTGACATAAGGCAAGTATCAGAATTATCTAGCACGGAGCCAGGAGTGTAGTGCAGTGGTAGAGAGCTTGCCCTACACATGCTAGGCCCTGAGTTCTGTCCTGAGCACCAAAAAAAAAAAAAAACAGAAAGAAAAAAAGAAAGGGCTGGGGATATAGATCAGTGGCACAGTGACAGTCTGGTGAGCACGAGGTCGTGAGTTCAAGTCCCAGTACCAAAAAAAAAAAGAAAAAAAAAAGAAGTTGACTGCTGTATTGTCATGGTTATCCTGGAATTCATCCCTACATCTCCTATTTATTTGTGGGTTTTTAGGGTGTGTGTGTGGGGGGGTATGGGTTTTTTTTTTTTTTGGTCTTTTTGAGACAGGGTCTTGCTATGCAGTTCAGGCTGGCCTTGAGCTCACTTTGTAGCCCAGGCTGGTCTCAAACTCTCAAGGCTCCTCCTGCCTCAGCCTCCGGAGTGCTGGGATTACATGCGTGCACCACCACACCTGGCCTATGTATGGGTTTTAAAACAATCTCTATGTAGTTGAGGGTAGCTTTGAACTCACTGTGTAGCCTGAAGCGATCCTCCTGCCTCAGCCTCCTGCATGCTGGGATTCTAGGCATGTGCCACCACACCTGGCTAAATCTTCTGTTTTGATGAGCTGGCTTGTGTGTGTTTGTTAATGGCTGAAAGTAAGATGGCATGTCTGAATTCATGCACCTGGAAAATGTTTATGTGCTTTTGGAAACAGTGCTTGCAAGCTGGAGTTCGTTTTAACTGAGGTAAACACAGTTAACTGGAGATTCCGTCCTTGTAGAAAAATATTTTTATAAAAGGCACAATAAACTTGGGTATGGAGAGATAAAGCTGTGTTGGTAGCTGTTAGTTTTCCTGTGTAAAGAAGAAATGGGAGATCTGTCCAAATATAGGCACTGAGTAATAACAGTAGTAACAGCTAGGGCTGTGGGGGGGGCCCCGCCGGCTCCCAACCTTCCGCTGTATTCCTTCTGAGTTCGGAGCTGAGTTCTGCACGTTTTTATAAAGTCAACTCAGTTTAGCAGTCCACATTTTGGGGGCTTTAAGGAGGGAAAGGAGCATTAAGAGAGAGTGAAATGAGGCTGGGCGTGGTGGCGCCCGCCTGTAATCCCAGCACTCCACGGAGCCTGAGGCAGGAGGATCGTTGTAAGTTCAAGAGCAGCTGTGTAAAGTGAGCTCAAGGCCAGCCTGAGCTGCGTAGAGAGACCTTGTCTCAAAAAGAC